CTAAGCATCCTCAGACTGGTTTTCTACACATAACTTCACTCTGACGATCAGGAGGTGAGCAAAACAAGTCTCAAATGGGAGTCATAGCAGGTACGACTCAGGCATGGCGTCTACGAACGGCAAGCATAAGAGCTTTCTGTACATGGGGGCTCAGACGCTCGTAATCTGACGCCTGGACTGACTAGTGTCAGTTGTCAAGCGGTCACAACGCGGTGACATGTAACATGAGGGTGTTTCCAATGGTGTGGGCTCCGACCACACAGTGGTCTACACATATCTGGGCTCAGACCACACATCAGGACACACGGAAAACTGCACACACCTGCACTGCACATGCGGTTACTGCATGTGCAGTGCATGGCTTGCATTAGCAAAAGATGTTTTCTATGCAAAAATCGACATTAAGGCATTCACGAACATATGACAACACTAGTGAGGAACACTGACTGAGAGAAATTAACAGATGACATATATCTTCTCTCAATCCTCTAGACAATACTGCAACAAATTGTTCACTGTGAAACTATAACACTGTCGATGTGACATCATATGGTTAGCATAGGCAGTGGTGCCTATGGTGAATAAATGTACCTAGTTGAATGAATCATTGTAGCTAGCTGGCCCAGTGGCTAACATGTCTGTCTGGAGTTTTATGACTCTCTGATCGTGGGTTCTAACTCCACTCGTGGTATGGTTTCTCAGTACTTTCTTGTGATCTCCCCTCCTTCCTTCCTCAGACTGATTACCTAGTCCTTGACTGTTGTTTTCCTCCTGATGTGGCTGTACAATAGCTTTGAATCGGACTTGGATTTCGATGCTATATCATTTTTGTATTGGCGCTGGGCCTCCCTCCTTATCTGTGCGTTTTCGTTTCTGGCTCTTCAACTAATTTCCTTATTTTATTGAGTCCTTTGTCATCTATACTTTTTTTTCATTCTCTAGCGCACTTAGTTTTGGTTTCTCTATACCTTTGGGTAAACCAAGGGTTCATTCTGGTCTTCCCATTATTTCCATTGCCCTTGGAAACGAACCTCTCCTCTGCCTCCTTGCATTTTGTTTTCATGTATTCCATCATGTATTCCATCATGTATTCCATCATGTCATTTGCTGATTTTCCCACCAGTTCTCTTTCCCAATAAACCTCATGCAGGAAATTCCTCATGCCTGTGTAGTCCCCTCTTTTGTACTTAGGTTTCTGCAGTCCTACGCTTCCTACTTCCCTCTCCACTTGTAACTCTATGTTTTTGAACCTTAGGACCACGTGATCACTAGCTCCAAGGGGCCTTTCATACGTGATGTCCTCAATATTTGAACTACTCAACGTGAATATGAGGTCCAGTCTTGCTGGTTCATCCTCTCCTAGTACTGGAAAACCTTGTATTGATACATGAGGTTTTCCAATACCACCTCCATCATCTTAGCCCTCTATGTTTCTGGTCCCCCCCACGTGGTTCCAGGTTTTCCCAGTCAATTTCCTTGTGATTGACTTCACCCACAACTAGTAACTTTGCCCTGCCCACGTAGACCCTTCTTGCCACCTCAGCCAGTGTGTCCACCATTGCTCTGTTGTCTTGGCTTCCTGCTATTCTGTGTGTGTGTGTGTGTGTGTGTGTGTGTGTGTGTGTGGATAGAGCACAGAACTCATATTTCCTGATCTCATATTTATTTTCCACTTTATATTTGGAAAACTGTAGATATACTGACTGGAAAGGCCGTCATATAATCGGAATGGTCCGAGACCGGCCCTCGTGAGCAATGATCCCTGGTGGCATTAACAGCAAGCACAGGTGAAGTACCTAAAGTGTTACTGTCTTTCCTGTAATATCCTTCGTTACTTTCCCTTCACAGTCACCTGAATCATTAACGTTGACATCTCTCGTGGTAATACATTTCTGCCACTCACCTTAAAACACTACCTGTGTCACAGAGGACTTTCCTGGACGCTCTCATGACAATACCCGTCACTGAGGGTGATTGTACTACTTTCCATGTTACCACTAGTCACCTGGGATGCTTGAACCACTTTTCCAGGTCACCACAAGTCACCAGGGATGCTTGTGCCACTTCACAAAGTCAGCACTAGTCACCTGGGAAGCCTCTGCCACCTCCTCAAAGCGCCACCCATCACTGAGGCAGCTATATATAGAAAGCCTTTGAAAGACAGTAAGCGTGGAGGCTGACGACCCATTGTCGTGTCTGTGATGGCTTACGTTGAGGGTACATAGGGTACACGAGAGAGAGAGAGATAAATATATATATATATATATATATATATATATATATATATATATATATATATATATATATATATATATATATTATATAATATATATGCTGTGCCGAATATGTAAAACTGGTCAATTAGCAAGAACTCATTTAAAATTAAGTCCTTTCTAAAAATTTCTCTTATACGTTTAAAGATATTTTTTTTTCATTAATGTTAATGTAAAAATTTATAATTTTGCACCAAAAGAATCTTAGAAAACTTACCTAACCTTATTATAACAAACGCAATTTATTTTAGCCTAACCCAACTAAATATATTTTAGATACGTTTACAATAATTTAATACTAAACAAACACAACGAAATATATTTTTTTTCGTTAGGTTCAGAATGATTTTGGCGAAATTATTGCATACACAAATTTTCACTTGTCCTATATGGCAAGATGAGCGTTGCTATTTAAGCCAAGATCGCAAGTTCTGCCTATTCGGCACGACATATATATAGGGAGAGAGAGAGAGAGAGAGAGAGAGAGAGAGAGAGAGTGGTCCAAATCGAGGTTGTTTAGTGAGAAAGGTAACTCTAAAGCTGTCTAGAAAGCTGAGATTAGGATACTGTAGGAGAGCACTGTTCCTACCCTCCACCCTCTTCAACCATCTCGCTAGCCGGAAATAGATGGTTGAAATTGTTCTCAACCTTATAGAAAGTTCTACGAAACGTGGAAGAAAAAACTGCTATTGCTAGGACTATGAAAACAATTACAACAGCCTCTACTCCTCCCGCTGCTATTATTATGCACTGGGTGGCTTATTGTCAACTAATCGTCCTGGTGTATTTCTTGAACTAATGTCAGGAATTCGATGAATACAGCCAACCCTGCATTGACTCTAGACGAATCTGATATTTGCTAAGTGCTCGTCCAGTTTACTCTGAAATGACTATTATTTTGCACTCACAGATTCAGCAGGTCGTTTATTCCACTTTGCAATAATTGAGTTAGCATCATCTGCCTCGAAATTTCATTCCATTGGAGTTAGTGACTCACTTTCTACCTAACACAGTTCTTCGTGTTTGAGTATAAAAATTGTTCAGTAACTTAAAGGTTTGAGCGAGAAGTCGTAGTCTTCGCCTCGTGAGACCGAATAGGTTAAGTATTTTGAGTGTTTCTTCACATGGGATATTTTTTAGTGATTGTGCGAGTTTGGTTGTCCTTCTCTTTTTTCTCATAAGTTTATTTTCTTCCTTAACGTAATTTTCGGCCCAGAACTGAACAGCTTATTCACGGTGTGGTTTAACAAGTGTATTGTAGAGCGTCAACTGAACCAACTGAGTAAATAAAATTGTGAGGGAAAAGTTCAACAGATAGGAGTAGCGAGCGAGTATATGGTAACGATAGTTTGATTGCCGGCTGCTTGTTAAGGTAGGGTCAGTCTAGCTCCCGCTATCCCCTCTCCCCCCCTTTTCTCCCCACCCCCAAAGGTGACGTGTGGGGCTCTGGCCAAACAGTAATCACTCGACTCACAGCTCCCAGCACAACTGTAAGTAAAAGCCTCTGCTCCTCTTCTAGTGGATATTGGTTGAAAACTTCACTTATGACCAGTTTTAAGTTTTAAGCTCCACATGAGACTTTTAGATAATCACCACCTTTTTTAAGTATCTTACACTTATTATGGAGAGTGATTTCTTAAGCAGTGGGTAACCTGTCTCTCTTTCCAGCTTGGAATGACAGATCGGGTCACCTGCCAACCAACGAGAAGTGTTGAAGGAGACGGACTGAAACAGCCCATGAGACGTCATTTGTTTATCTGCCTACCTGATTACTTTCAGTAAACCGCAGGGAACTACCCCTCATCTCTGCAGTGGTAAAGAACCTGCGTTCCTGTCATCTGGACTGACTATGAAGAACTAGTCGTTGGGTTGTCACCAACACCTGTGACCCCCCCCCCCACATCATCAGCAACGGCTACAATTTCTACAAGACGGTGTCAACCTCCACCAGACACCCCAGTATAACTGTACATATTAGCGTTGAATTCAAATGTCATATTTTTATTTCATTTTTAATTTTTCTGTCAAATAAGATACACATTCATTTTTTCGATGTTTTATTTTTGCATTACTAAATAATAAAGTGTTTATCTTTGTGAATTATTATTTCTTTTTCTATTCATTAATTTTCCTGAGGAGGAGCCAGCCTTGGTAATACTGTCTGAAGTTGTTATAGGGCTGAGTAAGCCTTCACAAAAATATGTGGCCTAAAGTTGGCTTTAACTTCGCCCTGTTCCCTCTACGAATGATAATTAATACAAAGTCAAGTACACATTTATAAATCTACTCGTTACTAGCAGCTTGTCAAGTACATTAATTTCTCTTCCTCTCTCAAACCAGCTTCTTTTCTTTATCCCTCTCGTTTCCAGAGGCAGCAGTAATGACCTCTGGCTATCCTTTCCTTTACTCATAAAAGGATAATCTTAATTTTCTGATCATTCCATTAGCAAAAGTGATAATGAGCACTATTATTCTTTACTATTTCTTTCGGGGTCACTTAATCCGCTAGTTCTTACACGTTTACCCTGAGAAATATTTCTGTTATTATTGCAGTCATTGAAAAACGCTAAACCTCTAAGTGTAAGAAAGCGGCTGGGAAACTTAAGAGTTAAGAGAGTACTCATATTTGATTCTAAGAGGGAAGCTGCAATTCCTTGCATCAAAAGCCCTTTACCCCCCCATCCCCTTGAAGTATGCAGAATTACTAACCTCTTCCTTCTTCAGCAGGAGGTTGTGGCAGATCCCCAGCAGGAGGCTGTGGAAGGCAGGATGGTGGTGTTGCTGGGTCGCTGCGGACTGAAGTGTGGCAAGGCAGTCTTACTCGTCTTCAATCTCGTTTTCTTCGTAAGTGTTTTGTTTTCAATGTTTTTGTCGTGTATATTTTATTCTCTTTCGTTGCCTTTTCCAGGACTATTGTTCCCTCATTCAGTGCCTAATTTGAGAATATTCTGTCTTTGCTGGTTGCCTTCTGGGTTTTTCTTTTTTTACTGCCTTTGTGTTTTATATTAGGGTTTCAACAGCGTTATGCTATGAAATGCTTCTTTTATTTACAACTTGAGAGGTGTTACATACCTCAGCTCATTTCGAAGCCTTTCCTAGCATTATCTATATTATTTTTTTTATCATCATGAAGTATACACATAGTAAACGAGATGAAGCTGGAGGCAGCTGTGTATCAGACATTTGATTTGGTCAAGTGACTTTTATTTCATTCATGTTGATACATTGTACGAACATCTTTCGGTCTCGAGACGTTCCAGGCATGAATCATCTCAGAGGAAGTGATGTTCTGCTAAATGTGGTTCTTTGACAATATTAGCTTTGCGCATAATAGTAAGATCATCAAGATGTCTTTGATATTGAAGGCTCTGCTGGAGTGACAGAGCCATCCAGGCAGGCTCCAGGTGAGAGATAAGTCGTCTAGCTCGGTTTTCTACCTTGTTCAGTGGTCATTAGACACAGTTTTAGTGGATTTGAATCTTGGCAGCAAAATGTTCATCAAATAGGTCAGTTTTTATTTTTTTTAATGTTAGTAGAGACATCCCGTCCTGCCGGTTTAGAGGTGGAATATTTTCATCACGTGAATCTGTAGCTTTAATGCCAAAAGACCCATGAGTTAGAGTACAGGACCGTCAAGAGGCCCAGGAACTGCATATCACCCCCCTCAGCACTACGAGAGATCCAGCAGCTGTAACATAATCCACTCAAACACTGTTAATGTTCAAATCCTGGTGGCCCTTAACCAAGGACCATCAGGTTTTGGGGTTCACCCTTCGTAAGTATTTTGTTTACGTTGGCTGGTAGTTCTATCTTTCTTTTCCTCTGCTTCTTGTTTCTCACTTTATCATTTCTTTGCCTTGTCTTCTCGGCTTCGTAAGAAATTTTTTATATCTTTCATTACTCTCCCATTAAACTCTTAGTCGCTTTTATCATTTGCTTTCTAATTATTTGTCTTCTTACGTAAGGATTATCCATACGGAAATCAGTTGTTTTCTTAAGTATTGTCTTCAATTAGTTATTTGCTTATGTAATTATCGCGCAATGACTTTTACAGGATCTGTTGGAGATTCTGTAACTTATTAAAGTTGGAGATTCTGTAACTTATTAAAGTTGGAGATTCTGTAACTTATTAACCTTTACTTCTTGCATAATTTTTAATGGTGAATATGAGTCAGAGCTAGATGTGTCAGAGGTATCCACGGTATCATATATCCCTGGTATCATATATCCCCAACTCTCTCTACTTCAATAAAGGCAAGAGGCAGAGTACCTGTGTCTGTATATCCTGAAGTGGAAGAACAGCTGCTGCTCAATTCTTCCAGGAGAACTAGGACTTATAATTCAACTCTCCTTCAAGAGACCCAAGAGCTTTATCTTAACCTGTAGCTTCAATACCGAAAGACCCATACACAAATAACCAGCACATAGAAGTGAGAAGCTTACGACAGCGTTTCGGTCCGACTTGGACTGTTAAAGTCGCACTAAGTGAAGTGAATAGGTGCTTCTGATGAAACACTTGTTCACTATACTGGATATCATTGGCAGTGACCCTTAACAACACATAAGAACATAAGAACATAAGAAATAAGGAACACTGCAGCAGGCCTGTTGGCCCATACTAGGCAGGTCCTTTACAATTCATCCCACTAACAAACATTTGACCAACCCAATTTTCAATGCCACCCAAGAAACAAGCTCCGATGTGCAAGTCCCTCTCAAATCCAACCCCTTCCACTCATGTACTTATCCAACCTAAATTTGAAACTACCCAAAGTCCTAGCCTCAATAACCCAACTAGGTAGACTGTTCCACTCATGAACTACCCTATTTCCAAACCAATACTTTCCTATGTCCTTTCTAAATCTAAACTTATCCAATTTAAATCCATTACTGCGGGTTCTCTCTTGGAGAGATATCCTCAAGACTTTGTTAATATCCCCTTTATTAATACCTATCTTCCACTTATACACTTCGATCAGGTCTCCCCTCATTCTTCGTCTAACAAGTGAATGTAACTTAAGAGTCTTCAATCTTTCTTCATAAGGAAGATTTCTAATGCTATGTATTAATTTAGTCATCCTACGCTGAATGTTTTCTAACGAATTTATGTCCATTCTGTAATATGGAGACCAGAATTGAGCTGCATAATCTAGGTGAGGCCTTACTAATGATGTATAAAGCTGCAGTATGACCTCTGGACTTCTGTTGCTTACACTTCTTGATATAAATCCCAGTAATCTATTTGCCTTATTACGTACGCTTAGGCATTGCTGTCTTGGTTTAAGGTTGCTGCTTACCATAACCCCTAAGTCCTTTTCGCAATCTGTATGGCTAAGTTCTACATTATTTAACTTGTAAGTGCTAGGGTTATGGACACTCCCGAGCTTCAGAACCTTGCATTTATCTACATTGAACTGCATCTGCCACTTTTCTGACCAAGAGTAGAGTTTGTCTAAATCCTCCTGAAGTTCCCTAACATCTACGTTTGAATCAATTATCCTACCTATCTTCGTGTCATCGGCGAATTTGCTCATATCACTAGTAATTCCTTCATCAAGATCATTGATATATATTATAAACAACAACGGGCCCAAGACTGATCCTGTGGAACGCCACTTGTTACTGATCCCCACTCGGATTTAACCCCATTTATGGACACTCTCTGCTTCCTGTCTGTGAGCCATGATTCGATCCACGAGAGCACTCTTCCCCCAATGCCATGAGCTGCTACTTTCTTCAACAGTCTTTGGTGCGGAACTCTATCAAATGCCTTACTAAAATCTAAGTAAATAATATCAAATTCTTTATCGTGGTCAACAGCCTCAAAAGCTTTACTGAAGAAAGTTAATAAATTAGTTAGACAAGACCGGCCTCTTGTGAATCCATGCTGAGTATCATTAATCAAGCTATGCTTATCGAGATGGCTTCTTATAATTTGAGCTATAATTGACTCTAGTAATTTGTCTACAATTGAGGTCAGGCTTATTGGGCGGTAATTTGACGGTAACGACTTGTCCCCTGTTTTAAAAATAGGAATTACATTAGCCATCTTCCACATATCAGACACTACACCTGTTTGAAGAGATAAATTAAAAATATTAGTTAATGGTTCACAGACTTCCATTTGCATTCCTTTAGAACCCTTGAAAAAACCTCATCAGGACCCGGTGACTTATTTTGCTTCAGTCGGTCTATCTGCTTCACAACCATTTCACTAGTGACTGTGATGTTACATAATTTATCTTCTTCTGGCCCACTATAAAAATTAATTACCGGAATATTATTAGTGTCTTCCTGTGTAAAAAACCGAGAGAAAATAATTATTTAAAATCGAGCACATTTCATTCTCTTTGTCAGTAAGATGCCCATAGTTATTTTTAAGGGGACCTATCTTATCTCTGACTTTTGTTCTATATACCTGGAAAAAACTTTTTGGGTTAGTTTTAGAATCCCTAGCAACTTTAATTTCATAGTCCCTTTTAGCTTTTCTTATCCCCTTTTTAATGTCCCTCTTAATGTCAATATACTGATTCATAAGATGACCCTCGCCTCTTTTGATACGCCTATAAATTCCTTTCTTATGCCCTAGTAGATATTTCAGCCTATTATTCATCCATTTTGGGTCATTCTATTTGATCTAATTTCTTTATAAGGGATAAATGTTCTTTGAGCAGCATGTATTGTGTTCAGAAAACTGTCATATTGATAGCTCTCTTCGTTACCCCAGTCAACAGATGATAAGTGTTCTCTAAGCCCATCGTAATCTGCTAAGCGAAAATCTGGGACTGTTACTGAGTTATCCCTACTATCATACTTCCATTCAATTCTAAATGTAATTGATTTGTGGTCGCTAGCACCCAGTTCCTCTGAAACTTCTAAATTATTAACAAGGGATTCATTGTTTGCCAGAACTAAGTCAAGCAGGTTATTACCCCTTGTAGGTTCTGTCACAAACTGCTTCAAAAAACAATCCTGAACTACTTCTAAGAAGTCGTATGATTCTAAATTCCCAGTCAAGAAATTCCAATCAATATGACTAAAGTTAAAGTCTCCTAGAATTACTACATTATCGTGCCTTGTGGCCCTAACAATTTCCTCCCATAGTAGTCTTCCCTGGTCCCTATCTAAATTTGGGGGACGGTATATTACACCTAAAATTAATTTTTCATGCCCCTCTGAAAATTCTATCCAAACAGACTCTGTATGTGTTACTTCAGACTTAATACCCGTTTTTATGCAACAGTTCAAGTGATCTCGGACATACAATGCCACCCCACCCCCCTTCCCGATACTTCTATCTACTTGGAACAATTTGAAACCCTGAATGTGACATTCTGCAGGCATGTCCCGACTTTTTGAATTAAACCACGTCTCAGTAATGGCAAATACATCTATGTTACCTGCACTAGCAACTAGTCTCAACTCGTCCATCTTATTCCTAGCACTGCGACTATTTGTGTAATATATACTTAAGGACCCTCCTTTCTCTTTATCATTCCTGCTCCTTTCTGTTATTCCACTAAACCTATTACTGTCCTTGTCAATTCGTGCCACTGGCTTTCCGATATCCACCTCATTTTGCCTATTACTAGTTCTCCTAGTACTCATATTACTACCCTGAGACTTCACAGTTTTCCCGCAAAAACCCATACCACTAACTATTCCTAGTTTAAAGACCTAACAGCTCCCTCCACTGCGTTGGCCAGTGCTTCCACCCCACACCTAGATAAGTGAACCCCATCCCTGGCATACATGTCATTTCTGCCATAGAAGAGGTCCCAGTTGTCAATGAATGTTACTGCATTTTCCTTACAGTATTTGTCCAGCCAGCAATTGACACCAAT